CCATATGAATTATGGCATGGAAGACCACCATCCTACAAATACTTGCGAGTGTGGGGGTGTCTGGCAAAGGTGGCAATACCTACGCCAAAGAAAATAAAGATTGGACCAAAAACTGTTGATTGCATATTTATTGGATATGAACATAACAGTAGTGCTTATCGTTTTCTTGTACATGAATCCAAAATTGAGGAAATTCATAAGAACACGATACTTGAATCTAGAAATGCTTTACTTTTTGAGCATATATTTCCACGTAAATCTGAGGTGGAGTCTAGTTCCACTAAATGAAATTTAGAAAATAATGGAAAAAGATCAAGATGGATATGCTGAAGTAGAACCTCGGAAAAGCAAAAGAGGCAGGATAGAAAAATCGTTCGGTCCATATTTTCTAACCTATATGGTTGAAAGTGAACCACAATCTTTTTCAGAAGCAGTAAATTCTTCTGAAGGACCTCTTTGGAAAGAGGCAATCCAAAGTGAAATTGATTCTATTTTGCAAAATCACATGTGGGAGTTAGTGGATCTTCCTCCTGGAAGTAAACCATTAGGCTACAGGTGGATTTTCAAAAGGAAAATGAAACCTGATGGAACAATTGATATTATAAGGCTAGACTTGTGATTAAAGGTTATAAGCAAAAAGAAGGCCTTGATTACTTTGATACATATTCACCAGTAACAAGGATAACATCCATCAGGGTGATTATTGCAATTGCAGCTTTACGAAATCTTGAAATACATCAAATGGATGTAAAAACGGCTTTTCTAAATGGAGATTTAGAAGAAGAAATTTATATAGAGCAACCTGAAGGGTTCTCTGCTCCCGGGCACGAGAATAAAGTTTGTAAATTGGTCAAGTCTTTGTATGGCTTAAAACAAGCTCCGAAACAATAGCATGAAAAATTTGATAATGTCATGGTTCAAAGTGGATTTAAAATTAATGAATGTGATAAATGTGTTTATGTTAAAGACACGGAAAAGGGTTATGTAATCCTATGTCTTTACGTAGATGACATGCTTATTGTTGGAAGCAATGATAAAATTATTAAATCCACAAAAGATATGTTAAATTCAAGATTTGACATGAAAGATATGGGTCTAACTGATGTGATTCTTGGAATTAAAATTCATAGAACATCACAAGGAATTGTTCTGAGTCAGGAACATTATGTGGAGAAAATCCTTGAAAAATTCAATAAGGATGATTCGAGTCAGGCTAGGACTCCAATAGATACAAGTCAACATCTGTCGAAAAATAAAGGGGAAAGTATTTCTCAAGTCAAATATTCAAGGGTGATAGGAAGTCTGATGTATCTAATGAATTGTACTAGACCAGACATCGCCTTTACCGTGAGTAAACTGAGTAGATATACAAGTAATCCAGGAGATGAACACTGGAAAGGAATTGTGAGATTACGCAGATACTTGAGATATACTAGTAAATATAGTCTGCACTACTGTAAATATCCAGCTGTAATTGAAGGCTATAGTGATGCCAACTGGATATCGGATATGAAAGATTCTAAATCCACTAGTGGATATTTATTCACTTTGGGAGGTGCAGCCATATCATGGAAATCTTCTAAGCAGACTGTTATTGCCAGATCCACAATGAAGTCCGAGTTTATAGCATTGGACAAAAGTGGAGAAGAGGCGGAGTGGCTTCGCCATTTCTTAGAAGATATTCCGAGATGGCCAAAGCCCGTGCCAGCTATTTGTATACATTGTGATAGTCAATCAGCTATTGGCAGGGCTCAAAGTAATATGTATAATGGTAAGTCTAGACATATCCATCGAAGACATAATATCATTAGACAACTACTCTCAACTGGTACTGTATCTATTGACTATGATAAGTCAAAAGATAATCTAGCAGATCCGCTAACCAAAGGGTTAAATAGAGAGTTAGTTGCTAAATCTTTGAAATGAATGGGACTTAAGCCTCTAGAAATGAGTTGATACAATGAAAACCCTACCTTGTTGACTGGAGATCCCAAGATCTTGGTTCAAAGGGACAACCTAATTGTAAAAAGACTCTTGTGTTCACTGTGTGATATTATCCATTGTCCTTTCCTTAAACAGTGATACCTGTGGTGAGTAGGATAATCATTTAGCTTTTAATGATTCAAGTATGGGAAGGTAGTACGGGCTACTTGTAATTAAGAACCACCTATGTGAGAGAGAAGTGGGGCCGCTTCGAAGAGAATTGTGTGAAGCTCAATTCTTAGACCCTCTTACAGAACCAGGCTATGTCCAAGGCCATCAATGGACATAAAAATGAGAACTGGAATATCTTAGGGAGAATCTTGTGTGAAGTATGTTTATCGTTTACACAAAAGGCAGAACAGTTCAAAGACATCGCGTCTACTGGTCAGCTAGTAAAGTTAATGTACTGTCACAAGGGAAGGTTCAAAGGGTAACACCTACCTATCCTATGCATGTTTCAACTGTTGGACCATAACATTATTTTTCAGTTTCATTCATGTGGGGGATTGTTGGAAAATTGTGAATGAAAATTGTAACTGAAAATTAAATTTTGAAACCGTGTCTTTCATCTCTAAACTTGTAACTTGGTTCATGTTACAAGATTAACTTTAACTCAACTTTATTAAATTTTGAGTTAAATGGATTAATTAATGAAAGTGCAAGTTTTGAGTTAAATGAACTATTAATGAACTATTTATTAATGTGTCTTGTCTTATAAGTATATAAGGCTTGTCTTCTTTGAGGAGAAAAGACACGAGAGTGAAAAACACAATATTCAAAAAGGCTTTTCCCCATTTTAAAGTGTTTTGGTCCAGGCATAATTCCAGTTCGCCGGATTAGTTTTGGTTTTTCCGTTGTATCCTGGGAAACAGACGTCATACGGGGCGAATCTGTTTTAAGGACACTGTGTTCTCACAGGTCTAGGTATTTTTATTTTAGCCATCTTATATTTTATTTTCCTGATAAAGTTCCCTATTTCATATGTATTAGATAAACTATATAATTTATTTATCTATATTAATTAATATTTATAGAATTAAGTAAACCTCCTATTAAAATATATGGTCGTATATAATTATTTTTCAGTTAATTTAAATTTATGAATAAATATACAATATTTATAGATATGACCTTTTATAATAGATAATATGACTTTCTTTTAATAGACAAGCACAGTTAGAACACATTATAAATATTTTATAATATAAATGTGCTATAGTAATATGTAATAATTTTATTATCTTGCAAAATTTGATCGATAATATGACTTTTATTCTTTGGAGTATGCCTAAATGAAATTTTTATTGACGTTTTTTGGCACATCTAAAAGAAATATAGACATAGATAGATTATGTTTTTATTTTTATTACTATATTATAGAATCATTTTGTTTATAAACATTAAAGCTCTTCCATAGTTTCTTGAAACTACCAGAAACTTTTTTAAGAATAGAATATTATATGAAATTATAATTCTAATGCCTAATTAATTTTCTAACATCACGGTTTTGTAAACTTATTAATTTTCAAATTATATATGCTTTGAATTGTATTAAAAGCATATACTGATATTATATTCTATCTTTATTGTATCTTTATCATAGAAATTGAATACATATGACGTAAAAGGATAGTTACAATGCACGATTAAAAGAATTTTAATTTTCTTGTTTTTTATTTAGTCCAATTGAAGCACTTTTGTTTTGTTTAATCAAATTATATATTGATGTAAAAGAACGAGTATATGCAATCTTTTAAAAACACTTTTGTTTGTGTAGTTTTTTTTTATTATTATTATTAATAATCCTATTTTGTTGTGTATTTAAGTGAGATTACAATTTTACCATTAAAAATACCTTTAATTACACAAGGGCATTTTAGTCCGTCCAATTTTTTACACAATCATTTCTCATTTTATAATAGTATAGAGATAAATAGATTTAAATTCATAAATAGATAGATAGATGACAGAATTGCAGATATATATATACATATATATATATATACACCAATGTTGCTATAAAACCAACTGGTTGGTTCCCTTATGGAACCAACACCCAATGATTTTGCTCAATGTGGGACAGCCCCACATGGAGCTGTCTACTTGGGTGTTGGTTCCATAAGAGAACCAACCAGTTGGTTTTATAACAACATTTATATATATATATATATATATAAATTAACATATAAGATTACCAATCACCAAGAATCTACACATAGCACATCAGTTGACACTAAACTTGAGAAACTCTTTCTTTACAATAATAATAACAACAATAGAAAGAAGGGAAACAAAAGTGAAAAATAAGTCTACCTATTGTAAAGGATCTTATATATGTATGTTGTCCGCGTACCTTACCCATGAAACTGAATTTGCTACTATAAATTATTGACTGGTTTGTTTTTTATCCTTCTACAGGTAGCAAAGTTCAATTTGGGGACCAGTTTCATTAATATACGTGTAGATTCACATGAATCCTACCTCTTCATTTTGTCACAAATATATCTACACTATAGTGAAACACAGAATGAGTCTCGTGCCCATTTATGGATGCAACACTGTGTACGGTCCAAGTTTAAGAGTGTTACGAGATATGGTTCAAATAAGAATAAATCCTTATTGTATGAACCATGAGAAAATTATTTTAAATATAGTGCTATAATATATTGTGATTTGGTGATGTTTTTAGTTTGAAATTATTTTTAAAAAACAAAATAATATACATATATATAATAGCAATTGTCTAAATGATACCACTATATCATATTAAAAGTAACATTATAATACATAATTAAAATTAACATCATATACTGTTGTCGCAGTTAACTTTCACTAGCTATATGTGTGTTGCAACAACTAAATAATATCATACCGTAAAAGGTTACTCTCGAAAGCCTTAACTCATAGTTGGAGTTTCCGTCCAATTTGGAAATATTGTGCGCCTTCAGTCATTAATAAATCACACGACAAACTCGTGTGTGATATTAAATGATATACCCATAAGTAAAGTAATTATGTTAACAAGCTTTTTGAATGGGAATGGAAATCTTGTGAAACATCCTCTCCTCTCTGTCCATGTGGATGCTTTTAAACCCATGTCTACACACACCGTTGTAAACATTAAATCCCTTCACCAGACTCCCAATACTTGGTTAAATATATCATCACATCAAGTACTACTACATCAAACCCAAATTACCTCATCAATTTCATTTTCTTCCCAACATCATGATTCTTGCTTGAATGTCTCCTAAAAAAAAAAAAAAAAAAAANAAAAAAAAAAAAAAAAAAACTATGTCATTGTTTCTTCTCAAGAATTCGTTTGGGTCCAAGATGAAGAAAGGTTTCGGCCATTTCTGCAATGGCGAGAGCTCCACCTCGATTCTGAAGCAGGAAAAAGTCCAAGCGTGTGCTGACGTGGCGAGGCAAAAACACTACTCCTCCTCGAGAGAAAGCCACCGGCCGAGTTTAGAGGAAATGATAATGCAGTTGGAGATGGAAGAAGAAGAAGAGAATAGCAGTAATGGTCGAGGAATAGTTTTTCAACCACATAGAATGTCATGTGTTAACAGTTGTGACATTCTTAGAACGGCTAGAAACGCCCTGAACCAGTATCCTCGATTTTCCCTAGATGGAAAAGATTCCATGTATCGATCCTCATTCGTAAATAAGTTGAGGAAACATGAAAAAGTCGGATTGCCTCGTGAGATTGGTGGGGAGAGCGTGATTTGGTGCAAGCCGGGAGTGGTGGCTAAATTGATGGGCCTCGATGCATTGCCTATTCCCTTGAATAGCATTACTTATAGAACAGTCATAAGGAAGAGGGTCGACAAAGAGAGGAAAAAATTGCTTATGGCGGCCCATCATAAGAGGCGAGAGATGCCAAGTACTACTGCTTACTCCCTCATCGATCCTATGGACTTGGAAATTCTGAATGCCGAGGCAGGCTGGCCGATGAGACGTTTTCATTAGAAAATTTGTTGTTGGTGTTGTTGTAATGGTTGTTATTATTTTTAGTTTGTTCTACTTATACTGTTTTTAGAAATTTTGAATAATCAGATTAAATGATTTCATGTAGGGGCTAGTATTTGTGATTCATACCCTATTAACTAATTACAGTTCAATTATGTGCTTCATGTGGGGGGAGAATTTATCCAAGTAAAATAGGTTCTAACCATTCTAATAGTTCTAGTTTTTTAATAATGGACGTGAACGTTTACATTAGGGATGAATAGTAACGAACTTTTGCAAGAGATCAGTAATAGTGCTATAATTACGGTATTAATAACATAACTTTGCAATGGATTTAAAAAAGTGTCATAGTTATAAGTTTTAATTTACAACGGAATCTAATTTTGTTTTATTATAAAATCATATTTCTTTTATTTAGGTGGCTAGATTTAATTCGAATAGAAAATAATAATTCATTGTTGAAATTAAATGTACATAATAAGATTTTACTAAAATTTGAATTTCAATTAAAAAGATTCATTTTGATGATTAATGTCGAAAATGGTTGCTTATATACTACTTTTGAATAACATTAAATGGACTGAAAATTAGCCCAAATGAAGTGATCTTACCTCAATTGGAAAATTGGGAATGTCAAAATAGTTGCCTTATACACTAGTTTTGAGTAACATTAAATGGACTGAAAATTAGCTCAAGCGAAGTGATCTTACCTTAATTGGAAAATTGGCTATTTGAATTTTCAAGTTTGGGTGTTCTTAATTTTTCTGGCTCAGCCCTCACAATTGGTTTTCATCTATAAAAAAAATACTATGTAGAAGCGGCTCGATCGGTTCTATCATATACCTTCTATCATCACTCAAAATCACCAATGAAATACAGAAAGCACATAAAAACGACATCACAACGTAATTCATCCTTCTGTACAAGAGGCTCCTAAAACCAGAAAAATAGAAGGTACTAGAAAATCTTAAGCAGAATTCTATTTTCTATTAACTAATGCAAGACCATAATTGTCATTCAAAAATGTTATAAGATCCATTTCAACCTTATGCTAAAAGGTAGCTTTTTTTGGATAACATAGAAAGAATAATTTTATGTGAAAATAAGTGTCTTATATTATTTATATATAAACAATGATTGTTAAATGAACATTTAAGAGCTTTAATAAGCAAAAAAAAAATAAATATATAATTTCTCCTGCGCCCAAATTCTCTGAAAACCTAGGCCGCCGCTCTTCCTTCAATCGCCATCGATCCGCCTTCCTCGGCGACGGCGGAGCTTGGCCAGCGGTCATCACCGATCTCTCGTCAATCCAGGTGGTCGTGCGTCCCGATGAAGCTGAGGTTCCGCTGACTGTTTCGGCCCTTCGGTCGTCGGCATATCTGAAGTTCAAGGTGCCGTCTCTCTGGTCGGAGTCCGGTCTGCGATGGGTTATTCTCTCCCGGTCGCCGACCGCTCGATTGACGGAGGTAAGCCCTCTCTCTCCTTCGGATTCTGTCTGCGATTGTTGTTCTCTTGGTTCGTTCCTGCCTTCCCCGGCGTGGGCTTTCGGAGGGGTCTTGGTGGTTGGTCGGAGGATCTTAGTGGTGCTCGGTGGTGTGCGGTGCTGTGGATGGGCGTGGCTCCAGCTGCTGCGACGGCTTCCGTGGTGGCGGACGGGGTTGAGGGCCGTTTCCTTCTCACATCCCCCGTTTGTCTAGTGGTGTTAGACGGCGGGGGAGGTTCTTCGGCTCGTCTAGTGGTGTTAGAAGAGTTCGGGTGGAATCGGTGTGGGTTTGAAGATGGCTCTCTAGGTCTTTGATGGGTCGATTTGGGGACTCGTTCGGGGTTAGGATTCTTCTACTGTATAGGCTTGATTGCAGTTTCGGTAGCAGGTTCTTGTCCTGAATTTGTCTTGTGTCGATCGTTCACTTCTGGTTTGGGCTTCTCCGTTCGCTGGGGAAGGGCTGCTAGTTTATTTTAGTGTTTTGTTTTTGTGTTCGTGTTTGTCTTTGTGCTTTAGGTTGTGTCTTTGGTTTGGGCCGTTTGGCCTCTGTGAGCCCGGGTGTCAATCTTATTACTCCGTTGGGGTCCGACATTCTGGTATTACCCTGTTGGGGTCCTTGTAGTTGTTCTAGTTGTTTGTGTTGTTGGTTAGTTTAGTTGTGAGTGTGTTTTTTATTCTAGCGTTGCTAGTCGGGATTCTAGGAGGGCTTCTGACCTGTCCTCCCACTTTTTCAGCTGTTGGCTGCTGTGTATTCAGCCGTTGGCTGCTGTGTATTCGCACATTTGTGCATTTTGATTTATAAAACTATCTACAGTTTCGGAAAAAAAAAAAATAAGCAAAAATATATGTAATATATAAATAATGATCGTTAATGAAGGTTTAAGAGCTTTAATAACAAAAAATATACGGAATAGCGAGAGTCTTAATAAGCTCCTTCCTCAAATTACAAATTAATAACCATCCTAAACTACAAATATATTTCAAAAGTTAAATTGTTATTAGATTTTCATATATACTATACAAATTAATTGTCTCATAACGAGTTTTTATTTGACATTCATATTGTATATATAAATAAATAAAAATATTTACCTTTATAGTAAAATATAAATTACATATCAACATAATTAAAATATAATAAAATTATTTATAAATTAAATAATTTTGACTATTAAATTCATTATATAATATGACTTAAGAAAGTTATGAAATGATAATTATCATTTTAAATATGAATAATAATCTAACTTTTTTAAGAATGATTTAAAATTTAGAATAAAAAACTTCTCTTTATGTATACTAGTACGAATCCCGTGCGATGCACGGGTAAGATATATTTATTAATATTTATATACTAAAATGTTAATTAAATAAAATTTATAAATTAAAAATATGAAATTAATATGTAATACAAATTACCTATATTAATTTATTAAAAATGTTAAATAAAATTAAAATTGTGCACAATTACATAGAACATGTCAATTTAAAATCAGCGCACAACTCGTACGGTGCACGTAACTTATAATAAGTTACATTATATTTATTTCAAAATAAGTGTCATTTTAAAAATTTTATTCAACTAGTCCCTTGGAGTGGTTTGGAGTTTGCGATGCGGCTTCTGCTAGGCCTTTTTAGGCAGTTTCGGGAGTGGTCCTTGGGCTGCGTTCTTCTCTTGTGGGGTCGGTTTTGTATGGCTCCTGGTGTGTCGTGCAGGGCTAGGTACTTCCTACTGTCCCATTCCCTTGGTGACTCTGGTGTTGGGTCCGTGGGAGACCGGTGATGCCATCTCGACTAGTGGTGTTAGCCGGTTTGGGGCATTGGTGTTGTTGGGGCGTTCTTGGTTGCTTGGCCTTTGCCGAAGGGGCGGGTATGCTCACAGGTTGGATTCGTGGCTTGGGTCTTCGTTTCAGCTAGGCCGTTTTTGGCAGTTTCGGGAATGGGTTCTCAGGTTGTGGATTTCTCCCTGGAAGCTGTCCGGTCGATTTACTGGAGAAGGGCTTGTTTGTGTTTTAGTAATAGTTGTGTTTTTTAGAAGTGTTTTTTGTTTTATGTGTGTTTGTTTAGTAGGACTTGTGGTTTTGGTTTGGGCCGTTGGCCTCTGTACAACCCGAGTGTCAATTTATTATCCTGTTAAGATCGGGCACTCGGGTATTATCCTGGTGGGATCTTTTTAGTAGTTTCCGTTTTGTGTTGTTTGTGTAGTTGGTTTAGTGTAGTTGCGAGTGTTGTTTTTCTAGCTTAGCTAGCGGGATTCTAAGCGATCTTCTGACCTGTCCTCCCACTTTTTCAGCTGTTTGGTGTTCCATTCAGCTAGGGGCTGTTATGTATTCACACATTTGTGCATTTTGATTTATAATATTATCTATTATTTTGAAAAAAAAAACAATCTATGGGTAAACCTGTTTTGTAATTTCGATATAGATATACTAGATGCAACTTATTTTAAAAGAAATAATATATAAAAAATTATTTATATTGTAACTTATATCACTCTTAACCGATCACAAAAAATATGCCAAGTAAATTATTATATTCTTGGAAACACTTCCAAATGCATTTTGATGATTTTTCATACCAAAAATTGAATATCACAACAAAATTTTATACCAAAAGTACTTCGCCCACTTTATATCATAAACTACTTTAGTAATTTCCCAATATAGTAAATAATATTTTTTTGGCGGGAAACAATTACTATTTTAAAAATAATCAAGCTTTTTAATATATACAGATACACGGGTGAAGTAGCCCACATATAGCTGTATTCTATCCATACCTATTAAATTTTAAAATTGTAAATACTTGACTAACTAAAATTATAAAAATATATTTAAAAGTTAATAACTTTTGTTTGTTATCATATTATATATAATATAGTATTTATTATAAATTAAGTCATCTTTAATACTAATTAAAAATTGATAAATATATATACCAATTTAAAAAGAAATCTATAAATTCATGGCATATAAGTTAGGAAATTTATTATTATATAAGATTAGAAAATTGTACAAATGCATACTATCACTTTAAATATAAATACTAATATTTTTTTTAAATAAATATTGNTAGTTTTTTAAGTAGGCACTGTAATGATTGTCTTAATACAACATATAAATTGTTGAAAGGAGGTCTTTTGTTTGTTAAAAATGTAAGGGGTGCTTGTTTGCAAATAAATTCGCTCAAAATGATTTTTTTTTAATAACCAGAGTTAATTTTAAAAAAATTGGATGGTTAGTTGTTAGTGGAATATTTATTTTATATTAAAATAATATTTAAAATAAAATAATTAAAGTTAATTTGATGTAAAAGTATGAGAGAAATTATGTGAAGTAATAGTTAACTAAAGTTATGTGAGTGGTTGAATAGTGAATTAAAGTTAATCTGATGTATAACAGTTATTGGTTCGTATTATTATTTATATTGATAAATCGAGGATAGTGGATTTAGATTAAAGTTTAGTTAGATTTTGGGTATGAATTTAATGTGAATGAATTATTTTGTAAACAAACATGCTCTAAATTTCTCACTTTTTTTTCTTAAAAAGAAATCTCATTATTATTTAAAAAGATAAATATTAAATAGTACTGTACAAATGATCTCAAATCATCACAGGAACCTCCCAACAAAANGGGTGTTCCTTCCCCTCGCGGTGTTATTGTTGTGTATAGATCGACGATTTCCAGACTGAGTCTTTTTTCCACTAGTTTTTAGAGAGCTGTTGACACCCGAGTCGAGCCCAGAAGGACCAGAAACCGAGGATAACCGACCGGTGGACGATGTCGAAAGCCGGATCGGTATGCGGGATACTCTGAGGGGCCGAACTGGCCGAGGAACAAAGTTGACGAGAACGGTGTGCAGGGTAATACTCCAGAACGACACTTTGGATGGTCGAGGGACGATGTCGATCAACGCGAATGCCGAGCATAAAACAGAACCTCCGAGACCAGGAGATGAAGTGATGACGAGAGTCCGACCTAAAGATTCGACAAGGACGGCTTCCACATGAACACAGGACTAGGAAATAATAAAATATTGTCATTTTTCAAGTGATGATTGCGATGGGACATAATATCCTAATCAGCCACCCTAGAGCATCTAGACCGGTAGGGTGGCCTGTCAGCATTAAATGCCCCACATGTGTACATTTAATGTCTGACATGTAATCATTGAAAAAACCTCAGCTCACATTTAATGTTTGTCAGAATGGCGCTGACCTGTCACTCTGGATTACTGTGCGACGAGACAGGATGAACAGTACCTGAACAGTACCAGATTAGAGCTACTATAAATAGAATTCCACCATCATTTATTAAGGGTTGTTGATTTCCCCACCGACTATTTCTCTCTCTACATTTACTCTCTCAGATCTGTAACAAACTCTTGTGATTATTTCAAGTGTAACAAAAGTGTTGACCTCGATATCAGAGGCCGAACTCGTAATTAAGTAATAAAAGCTTATTTATCTCGTATATTCCAATCTCCTTGTCTAATTCTATCACTTATAAATCTTTCATTAACCGTTGACCGATTTCTATCATCAACAAGAGCGAGGTTGCGAGGAGAGTGTGTGAGCATTTTGCTACCTATACTCATATACCCTTACCCACTACAAACAGTTTCTTTGTACTCTTGACTCTTGAGTTTTTTCTCACAACACACACACTTTAGACACGTGAGTTTCCTCATTTCTTGTCTTATCTTGCAGTTTATTTGGACAGAGAGGAATAGTGCGGAGCATGGGGATATTACTTTTATGTGCTCTCACATTGTTTTGCAGGTTGATCGACTCACGCTTAGAGACTGGACAAGCTACAACCCCCCTCCCCCCCTTTTCCGTTTCCTGTCATCTCCGCTGCCGTCTGTTCAGCACCCACGACCTAGAGCCGTTGTTTGGCTGAGACCCTATTCCCCTTGGGTTAAGTTGAACACTGACGGATCTTTCTACAGACTTATTGGAGTCGCTGGAGACGGGGACCTGATTAGGGATCACAGCGGAGCTCTTATTACCGCCTTCTACGTCCCTCTTATGGCCTCTTCGAGCTACGACGCGGAGGTTCAAGCGCTGCAGATCAATCTTCAGATTGCAACCTTTATATCTACTCACATTTGGATTGAGCTGGATGCTGCCGCTGTCGTCACCCTCTTGACCTCGAGCCACCAGGATTCGTGGCAGATTCAGCACCAGCTCATGCGCATCAGATCCATACTTCAGTCGGTTCGCTATCAGATTTCGCACATCTTCCGCGAAGGGAATCGACCTGCTGACTTCCTGTCTAGACTCGGTGCCTCCGCACCCCAGAGACGTATTTTCCACCCTTACAGCGCCCCTCTTCGCTTACGTACTCTTGTGCGGATGGACCGGCTCGGTTACCCCTCTTTTAGATTCTAGTAGTCGGTTTGTATCTTTTTGTGTTTTGGCCAACTCTGTGGTGCAGACTGTTTACTTGTGCACTTGTCAAATCAGGTTCAAATTTTTCGTTTTAGTTGTTGTTTTTTGTTTTTTGTTTAGACATGTGTAGACCTGTGAACTTCTCGACCCAATTATAGTCTTGACTATTTACAGGTTGAGAATCAGACTTTAATCTCCTACCCTTACGAGTGTTTCTTTGTTAAAAAAAAAAAAATTAAAAAAAAAAAGAATAAAAAAAAAAAAACTCCCAACAAAACATGGAAAAATGACATTAGAAGACAAAGTCCAAATTCCTTGTGATTTGACGAAACAAAAAATGGTGACTTCGCCGTTAGTTTCCACATTCTTCTCTCCTCTCTCTGCACATTATTAATTTGATACCGGCGACCTTTGCTTTTCCTTTCTAAATCAAGCTCTGATGCATCTGTAGATATCATACTATTGCCCATGTGCCTCTCATACATTGTTTAAGGAAAAGATGAAGACATCGCTGAAGAAATTACAGAAATTTGCTGCGGCGAAGCATGATAGGAAAGCGCAAAAGCACCATCAATCGTTGCCTCTAGATGAGCTCGCTCGAGCTACGCAGGTATATTTCGTTGTTTTATGTGACTTCAGTTGGGACAATACAAGAATAATCTCGTTTTTCTTTTCAGAATTTGGATAGTTTAGGCGATTCTAACGAAGTTATTGGCAGGATTGGGAGTATCTCATTTGTTGATTGTGATCGATTTGTTTTATTACACTTTTCAATTCAAGCAATATCTGTGCTACTTTGACTGGTAAACCATCTGATGAAGGACATCAGATGGGGCTATTAGTTTCTACTATGGTATCTTAGGTGACCTCATCAAACTGAACTACAATCGTTATGGCAATTCTTAAGTTTGTATTTACAGTGGTTTCCATTTATGCACCACATTAAATTAATATATACTTTCTCATTGAATGACTCGATGACTGTTGACACTTGATACATTTTTCTTCATTTATTATTCTTAAGAACCAGTTAAATGCTGCAAAATAAGAAAAATCAGGATATGGAAAATAGAAAGCATCGGTTGATGCTATACTAACTGAGTCGCCTTTCCAAAGGAGACGAGGAAAGATAAAATATGGGTTCAGCATTTGAAATGGCAACTCTAAAACAATAAGGCCTGTTTTTGTCCTTGATGTTCAGTACCTTGCTAACTGTGGATTACTATGGAAAATTTGGGAAGACTAGACAAACGCTACTGCAGTACTGCGCTGAAGAAACTTTTCAGTGCTGTCACCGTATACGAACAATTGTTATCGAAGAAGCACAAGCATATAAATTTTAAACCTTACTTTTTTGCTTGCCCCTTGGGCCTTGAGTTTTTCAAAGCATTACATTTTTCAGTCATTTTAATCTGCAAGTAAAAGTATCTTTGATCTACAACCAAGTATTTTACTGTTATTCTGGGGGATTTTTATGTTCCATTTCTTATGTGGAGCTGCTGTCACTCCCCTTAATTTTTATGCCTTACTCTATTTTGAGAAGTTTGTTTCTATATGGTGTGAAGGCCAACAGTAGTTATACAGGTGGGTTTACCTTCTGGCCCTTGTGTCATGTTTTGGGGAAGACACATGGGTTAGGGAGTAATGGAACTTCAGGGGCACTTATTCCAGAGTCACTGGAATCTGGATGAATACATGATTGTTATGACTTATCAGTATCCAAATCTTGCCAAAACATTATTTTGCATTAGTATATAGAGTTTCTTGTTTCCTTTTCCTTTTTTCTTTATTGATTTGTGGTACAAGACAATTTGACTTTCTGCATTTCCATTTTTAGATCAAATTTCATTTTGTCTTGACCAGGATATGAATGACATGAGAGACTGCTATGATAGGTTACTCTCAGCTGCAGCTGCAACTGCTAACAGTGTATACGGTATGTTGGTGATAATTGAAACCTTTATATTATTGACTTTGTTCTTGTGTGTGGTTATGTATGTCATCAGTTGTCATAATAACAGCTTTTATGTTTTACATCTCAGTTAAATCTGGTCCCGTAATAATCTACTTAATCTGATTTCTTGTCTGAGGCATGCAATTTATTTTCTTTTAGTGAAAACCGTTCCCATATTATTTTTAATTATCAATGCCCAGAAGTTTTGTTTGTCTCAGCAATCGAAAGAGCATGAAGCTGCATTATGTGTAGTTAGTTTGATTTTTAAGCCCTATATTCAGCTTCATATTTTCAATTAATCTGTTTTCCATAAGCGTGCCTTGGACGGATGTAAAAGTTGTTGGTTTCTTAAAGGTCATGATGCAGACAATACCCCATATTCTTTGTCAATTTTTTTCTTGCGAACTTCATAATTTTAATCTCTCTCTCTCTCTCTCTCTCTCTTTTTTTTTTTTTAAATGCTTTATATTAACATTAACTTAATGATTTTCATGAAGTTTCTACTAATCAAGCCTCATTTGTCTCAGAATTTTCCGAATCACTAAGGGAAATGGGTGATTGTCTTCTTGAGAAAACGGCCCTCAATGATGATGAAGAGAGTGGTAAGAGATACTTTCTGAAATTTATATATCTTACTTTTGATAGAAGTAGAGGATATTTCTGAATCGAATTCAGGATATGCATTCTCAGTTTTCACATTTATATCATGCAGAATAAGTAGGAACACACTACCTTGTATGTTCGGAATATCATCTGTATTTTTTTATTGCATCTCCTTTAGTTAACTCCATGAATTTTTTTTGCGTTGTTGCATGAAGTTCATGTCATTCAGCACATATGACACTTGGCCATGCTTCAAATGTATTACGTATGGGTATTCGTGATTGATAACTTGAGTAAATCTTATTTTGAGCACTGCTTCAAACTTTATAAAGCTTATTAGTAGGATTAAAGCACAAATGCAATGGTAATACCATAACATTTAACTACACAGTTTTTTGTCCAGTGATGCTGTCAGTACATAGATTTAGTATATGCTCTTCAGTTTATCCATTTCTTTACCCTTGTGACCTCTGTCCTATCTCAAATGAATTTAAACTTTTCCCTATCTCAAAGCTTTTATTATGCAGGGAAAGTTCTATTAATGCTGGGAAAAGTACAGTTTGAACTTCAGAAACTTGTTGATGGTTATGTGAGTGCTTACTGATACATATCAATGAGATTTCTATCTACTGCTTTATTTTTTTCCCTTAGTATTTTATTCTTTTTTTTCCAGAGATCTCATATATTCAGGACTATTACAATCCCATCAGAGTCTCTTCTGAATGAACTTCGTATAGTAGAGGTGAGAATAGAAAATGTGATGTGGTTTGGTGCTTAGTCTTAGGGCAAACAATTTTGAGTCATATCAAGACCAGCCTTGATCCTTGTATCGCTGGGAAGATCTGATTTTACGATTGAGGGAACTGTTACTTCGATATTACTTATGTATTTTTTCTTTTATCTTCCTATGACATCCTGACTATATATTGTCGGCTGCATATGTTGTTCTCTTCCTGGTACTAATTGTGCCATTCTTCAATACGTTGCAGTAGATTTTATTGTTTTGACTAATTATGACGAGAAGGTCCCTAATGAGTTTGTCATGATTTGTGCTTGAGCTCCAATTAAATCACTTACTGTTTTTTGCAGGAGATGAAGAAGCGGTGTGATGGAAAAAGGTCCATACAGGAGCATTTTCTTAGTTTTTTGTTCCCGCCTTAATGGTGCTTTGTTAATCATTTTCTGACATCAATTACCATTCTACTAAATGCGTTTTACTCGGAACAAATAATTTGCAGAGAGATATATGATGATCTGCTGAAGAAACAGAAAGAGAAGAGGATGTTAAAGAACAGTAAAGGTGAATGTTTCCATTCGCCTCAGTTGAAGGAAGCCTATGAGGATTATGATGATGAGGCAAATGTATTTGTTTTCCGCATGAAATCTCTAAAACAAGGACAATCGCGTAGTTTTCTTACACAGGCATCTCGGCATCATGCTGCACAGGTTGTTTCCTTTTCTGAAAACACCAAATGCGTGGCTTTCGGTTTCTTAGTGTATCATGTTTTACATGAACAGTTTGAGTTTTACTGCAGCTATTCTTCTTCAAGAATGCAGTCAGATCTTTGGAGGCCGTAGAGCCACATGTCAGATTGCTTGCTGAACAACATCATATTGATTACCAGTTTAGCGGACTCAAAGATGATGGACATGGAATTTATAGTGATGGTGGTGAAAGTGATGGAGAGGGTGGTAGTGAAGATAGTTCTGATACACATGATGATGGAGAATTGAGTTTTGACTATGAGCATAATGTTTCCATACAAGAAGTTGCTACATTAAAAAACTCCATGGAGGTACAAATTTGACGTCTTAACCTGATATTGGCCCAAGTAAAAAACTTCTGAATAGTTGCTGGTAAATGCTGTTGCGCAAGCAGTAGAAGTCTTGATTATAAACACTAACTGGAGAATGAGGGAAATTGTTCTCATTCTTGGGAGCTTAAATTTTGATGGACAGCTACATTTTAGTTAAATTATTAAGTTAATGTCCTTCATACTCGCATCTTTATCTATCATTCACACACAATAAATTCAGCTGCCTCTTGTGTAATATTGAGATCATAATAAGCATAATAGTTTCGAAGTTTGAACAATCTATTGATATCAATGTTCATTTAGCGTATTTTTGAAATGGACTAGCCATCCTAACGTGACGAGTAGGTTACTGTTGATAACAGGCTCTAATAGGACTTAGTCTCAAGAGTTAGCTTAGTGGTAGAATGTTTTTAATCCACAGTTATGCACAATTAAAACCCGCGATTTAACAATGTTAGAAAACATAATATCTAATAGTTGTTATTTTGTTTCTAGGCTTATCACCAAACATCACCCATATATAGTTTTTGCAGTACTCTTCAAAATGGAGCAAATATATGCATGTGAATGGTTACTTAAACAACATTCTACTTTTTGCAGTTGGATACTCCCCATACGACAATCTCTGCCAACCCTAAATTAGGTGCCGCAAAGGTACAATGCCATTTCCTGCGGTATTGCTACTCGCCACTTCTAATTCCCACCTCTTTGACCATGTAAAATAGTATCTCATTAAAACATTTTACCTCTTCTACTTTGAAATCTAATTTTACATTTGAATATTTGATTCGCTAACTTTTCCTCATTATGTATTTTTGTGTTTCTTCTCTCCACTTGAGTCTTATCCATAATCCTTTTAGGAAGAAGTTCAAGAAATAATTAGATATTAATGGAAAGGAATGTAATGACTTTGAACTCTTAATGATTGGGACTTTCTAAAACGGTTAAAAATATTAACTGTACATTCAGCTACAGATTTTAGTCCATATTAAGTCAATGCAGTTGCGGAAATGAGTTTATGATTTAACTACTTATTCAATAGTTACGAATCATACTGATCAAATGAATAACTAGATTATTTATAGCATTTGACAGTTCACGGACTTGACCTTACCTATTAATTAAAATCTGTCAATCTAGTAGAGTGGAAGCATTGAGGCTTAAGAAGTACCTTGGGCTATGTGAATCATTCCAATGGAAAGATTAAGTGATATTTAATTGTCTAGTTACTATCCTTATGGTCACCAGCAGGCCTCTTCTAGTATTATCATTCCTCAGCTCCACTGTTGGATTGACCGGTTACAATCCAATGTTGCAATTCAACTGAAGATGGTATACTTATGTCCATATTTGCAGGATATTTTACAAAATCCTGCCAGAAATTCTTTTTCTTTACAAAGAGGAGTTGGAGCCATCAGCAAATCAGCACCTCTCTTTCCTGAGAAGAAACTGGATTCAGCTGAGCGAGTGGCTCAGTTTGGGCCTTCACCATCACGCAAATACACTTCTTACGTGTTGCCAACTCCAGACGAGACAAGGAGTCCTGTTTCTGGGAAATTATTTAACGAATCTCCTCAAGTAAGAAAAACGGCCTTAGACCTTAGTCATTCCTCTCCCTTAGACCAGAACAAGTACGAAAAACTCGGGGCAAATGATAAACCAATCATCTTAGACACACAATCAGTACTGAAAGAGAGCAACAACCCCCCAAAACCTAGCCGCTTGCCCCCTCCTTTGTCAGAAACTCTCTCATTCAAACAACTCGATCCAAATGTTGCATCCTATGCTAAGAAAGCCAAAAGGCAAGCTTTTTCCGGCCCTTTGACAGGAAAACCGTGGCCGAATAACACAAATTCCACAGCCAGTGGACCAATTGCTTCATCAGCATTCTCTCTGCCATATTCGGGTTCTCTATTACGCACACCAATACCTCGGCCCACATCAACTCCTAAGTTGTCTTCACGGAATTTCGTGTCATCGCCAAAAATTAATGAACTTCACGAGCTTCCCCGGCCACCTGCTCATGTAGCTGTTAGAAGGCCTACTAATCGTGGTGCTCATTCGGGTCCGTTAATGTCCAAATCTCTCGAGCTGTCAACTGCAAGTATATCAAAGACGTCCATGTCAGCATCTGCACTCCCAGTTCCACCATTGGCATTATCGCGCAGTTATTCAATTCCAGCTGGAGGCTCGATAGATGTGGCATTACGTGTTCCATTACAAGGTTCTCACAACTTAAAGATGGAAGAAGGCATTTCTTCGCCTCCTTTGGAACCAATTTTCTTGCCAGATACCCAATCAGAATCTCATACAACATAGATGATTCCTGCCCTAAGCAGCCTAATGAAAGGTAATTGCAAACCTCTGCTTCTCAGCTAACGCATGCTTGCTAATGATGTATGGTAAATGAAGTAAAATATTAATCAGGTAATACAATAGTGTTTCGAGGTGGTGAATACTAACGTGCTGTGTTGTTTCTCCACCTTTTTTTAGAAGAGTATAAATTGGAATATAACTTGGGATTTCTGGTGATATTATCTTTGATTTTTCATGGGGTTAAGTGTCTTCAAAGGTATGGTTCATGCTTTTTTTCGGAGTCCATGTCTTTTGTTCTTCAGAGCAAATTATTTATTGTCCATAGAGTGAACCTTTAGATCAATTGCCACTTTGCTTCCAGTTGTGAGGTGGTGCTGTCTAGTTTATGATTCATGTATTCTATCTATTGCAAGTGTAAGTTTCAAGGTAGACTGCATAACCTCTATACTAAAATATAGACATATAAGAAATGTTTCTGTAATTTCACGTGTAGCGTTGTTTTACTGTTTCTTGTATATTTTAGTAGGCAGCGTGGAAGCAGAAAAATACAGTAGCATGGGCTCTCAATAGAAAAAAATACAAGGTCAAATAAATAAAAATTGAAGAAAAGAGTTGCTGACCACAATGGGTTAGCTAATCTATCATGGGGCATCATTAAAACCTTATTGGATGAGAAAAAAAAAAATTTCAACATCAGTCTGTCTTCATTTCTTACATATCTTCTTCTATTATGTTGAAATCTCTTATGCATTGTTGATTTCACGTTCTAATGTTCTTTTTATGATGACTTGTGAGGTTCTCTGATTTATAATTTTGGAATAGAAGAATTTATGTTCATGTTCAAACAATTAAGAAATAATTGAATTTTGCTAAAAAAAATAAATTGTTTTTCCTTTTTCTATGTGCATAATTTGATTGAAGGGATAAAAAAATGTAGTGATATAGCATAACTGTAATAAATGAAAATCTAAGGTGGCAATTTGATACAAGATTCGTTCAATTATTGTTATTGATTTCATTTAATATAAGCAATCTTGTTATTGTCAGTTTCATGGTGGTCACATTTAATAATATTCATTTATGCTTCTAATCCTGTGTACAAATCAACAAGTTCACAGAATTTTGTTTTAATACGTAAACACAAGAACTGTCTAGAAGTTACTGGATGTATGAACATGATCCTGAAAAGTGGAAATAAAAATGAAGTGAATTAAAAGAAGAAAAAAAAAGAAAAAAAAAAAAACTCATGGATGAAGACCCCCCTTCAACCTACATGGCATGTGAAAGAAACGCACACGACATCATAAGATAAACAAGTTATCACCTGAAAGTAGTAAATCCCCAATGAGATGTAGGAGAATTGCCCAGGATTTGGAATGTCTCTCTATTTCATTGTTCTTGAAGGGAAGTGATGTAGCTTTAGTTTATGGATCAGTATTGAAGTAGAGTGAAGATTAGTAACTTTAGTGGGCCTCAAAGTTGACTTTTTTGTTTTGATTTCAATTTTCCGGTGGAAGATAGATGCTCACTGTTGTGCTGTGTCCGAGCGTATCAAATATACTAATTTCTAGGATTTGAATCATATGAGAGTCAATGTTTTTTAGTTTTAGTGATTTTTCTAATCTTGTTTCATTTAACCTTTTGTATTTATATTGCACGGCTTATGTGTGCTATGAATTATGAGCTTAAGAATATGAAGGAATATGAGAGAGCCATTTCTCTTGTTTCCTGTCTCGGTACCATTTACATGATAACTTCCAACTTAATGATATGGTTTTGTTTCGTGTCGCCCATTTCTTATGCAATTCCATGATTGCATGAGATCCTTCTAATCCTGATATGTTGTTTATGTTCTCAGGCAACTTAAAGAGCACGACTGCAATTCTGGGCACTGTAGACATCTGTGAATACTTCACTAGCTAATCATATTTTGAACAGCGTTAGACATGTATAAAAAATGCATACTATTTTGTGATTGGTATGAAAAAGTATCCATCGTAGTCAGTGGCTTTTAACCGATTCTGTAGTCGACTTTGTATCTCCTTTCACCTTAATAGAAAATAAGAGGGTAGCAAATGTTGCTTACCAAGTAGTTTTCTTGCTTAAAGAAGTAAATAGGGAAACGATGTTGTGATACTGATCATGGAGAGGTTGGCTTATTGGTGGCATATTTAGTATAAATCGTACTTATATCCAGCAATAACGTTTATGTATTTAACAGTTGGGATAATTTGTAATTAGTCAATGTGGTGCTACTTATTTCAAGTTTGTACCACTGTGTTTTAATTACTTAAACATATTTACTTCCTAAATGAATAAATCTTATATCGTCTATATATCTATATATTACTAAAGAGAATGCTCTGTATAAACAAACCTATAAAAATTTTCTTATATTTTTTATTTCTTTTTATAGTATTTTTTTCTAATAAAAAAATTAACATAAATAATACATGGTAGATATGGATTTTTTTTTAACATGTATATTTTATCATACTTAAATATTTTTGTATTTACTCATTTTCTAGGTTGAATTGTTGAAGTTTCAATAATTTACTAATATTAATGTTTTTAGTAATTTTTTTTCTTCAAATTTTGAAATATCATTAATAATAACAATTTACTTATCAAAATCTACGTTTTTTTCCTCTCTTTCATAGTTCTTCAAATTTTTTTCTGAATATAATTTTCAAAATCTACTAATAGTGATTTTAATATTTTTTTGTTAACAATAAAAAATAGTAAAAATAAAAAACTTTAATTAGTGTTATTAAATCACTTCGAATCTTCCATATTTACTCATCTGATAGTTTAAAATGTTGAAGTTTTCATAGGGATTTTAATATATATATATATATATATATAGAAATTGCCAGATAAATCCCTAGTCCAAATTTCAACTTCCTTTTCAGTCCCTAATGCTCCAAAATGCCATTTCAGTCCCTAATACAAATTTATCTTTCCTTTTAACTCCCCCTATATATACTAATAATAATATTTTTCATTTATTTTGTCCAAAAATAAATCATATACACTCACCTCTTTCTTTCTCTCTCTCATCTCACAACACTCTCTCTCACCGTCTCTCCCTCTTTGTCGCCCTTTCTCCGCCTCCGCGATCTTTACCTCACCGCCGCCGTCTCACCGTCGTCGTCTTGGTAGACACGATCTATCTGTCTCGCGATCTATTTGTCTTTTTCACCCTCTCTCCCCCGCGATCTCTCTGTCCTTATCGCGATGCCCGACGGCAAGAAGAAGCTCGATGGGAACAAGCCGTCATCCTCCTCCACACCAGCCAAGTCACCAACGAAGGCATTAACACGGGTATTTTATAATTTTGTTGATTTTTTTTTCTAATTTTAGGGTTCTTGGTTAATTTGTCAATTAGGGCTTTTGGTTAATTACCTGAAATTGTTCCTAATTTTGTGATAATTTAGGGCTTCTTTCAGCTAATTTATGATTTTTGTTCCTAATTTGCTATTATTTTCTAAATTCCAAACACATGCATTTTTCGTAAAATTTATGATTTTATTTGTTAATTTCTGTTTTGTGTTCCTAATATTCTCATTTCTTCTGGTTTCTAAATGCTATTTTTATATGCTGATGTATATATTGTTAATGTCATCACTCTTTTATTCATATTTTTTCATTCGTCCGTGGCCTTTGCTTATAGCCAAACGTGTGTCTATCTAGCCTGATAATTTGTGTTTCTTTTTTTTTTATATGTTATTGTGGTGCTGTTTCGAAACCTATTCCCTTAATTTTCAGAAAGTTGAATCATTATAATTTTGTACTTTTCCACTTAAGTTTTTGGTTCCCTAGTCTGCAGTGTATAATGATTCTAAATTCTCTTATATTATTAGGGTTTTTTTACTGATTTATGATTTACGGTTTTTTTCTGATTTTTTCTGTTTATAATAGGGACCCGAATTTAGATGTCGATGCGCCCCGTCTTACTTCAAAGATGTGATGGACCGAATTCTTATTTCGTTATCTGAACAACACCATGAGGCTCTTCGACAAAGCCCTTTTTATTTTTTCGTTAATATGCCTGAGATCCCTGTTTCACATGCTAGACTTGAAGCCCTGATTAGCTTATATAGGGTTGACATTAATTCATTTTCTGTTGGTGATCAATTGGTTTTGAATTTTGATTCGACTGAATTTTGTGTCACAATGGGGCTGCGCCAAGGTGGTCTAAGTGTTGACTTAGACCTTTCTTTGGATTGTAAAGCCCTATTTGACAGTTGGGGCCGGTTAGATAAAAAGGTTTTGAAAAGAAAAGATGTGGTAGATTTGCTGGAAAAATTTTCTGTCGATGAAGGTCGTGTTGACGACTTCATCAGGATGTACAGTCTGTTTGTTTTTAGTTGTATATTGTTTCACTGTTCTAGTTACTCCATCCCTAGGTTTGTTTATCCTTACCTAGAGGATGTGAGTAGGATTTGTGAGTATGCATGGGGAGATGCTACTCACAAATTCCTTGATGCTGAGCTGGTGCGTCAAATCGATTCTAGAGACCGCTCGTATTTCGATGGTTGTGCTGTGGGTTTGATGGTATGTATATATGTGTTTCAATTTCTTAATACAATAATATTACAACAATATTTATTTGTGGGATTGTGTAATTTTGAAATCATGTTTGTGTAGGCTTGGTTGTACGAGCGGGTGCCTTCCCTGGGCAAACGCTCCACGCTCGAGGCGATTCCCCGTCTATTTCGATGGACGGGGAGCCATTTATCGTCTACACTCGAAGGGTTTTTAAAATCCCTTCAAAAAGTGATGAGACATAAGGTAATTTATATAGTGTTATAGTATTATGTTTTCTTCTTCTTTTTATTTTTTTGGTTAATCGATATCATTGTGATTTGCTTTGCAGGTGTACTCGGTATCGCCAGTGGTTTCCGAGCGTGGCTTTGTGGAGTGTCAGGTTGCCTTTAATATTTATGTTTCAACATTAATATATTATGTTTTATCTTTTATGTACAGGGAACGATGGAGACCCGTATACTGGCCATGGTTGTGCAAGAAAATGAAGAATTGAGAAAAAAAAAATTGAATTGTTGGAGAAAGAGAGAGAAAAAAAGGAAGAAGAAGAAGTGACTGAGGAGGAACTAGAAGTAGAAGCAGCTGCTGCTGAGGATGAACGAGAAACTTCTGCTGCTAGTGAAGGATTTTTTGTCCTGACCAATTATGAGGAAGAAGAAAACAAGGAGAAAGAGAAGGAGTCAGAGGAAGAGAAGAATCTGGAGGATGAGGAGGAAAAAGAAACAAAAGAATGGGCCTTGGTACCCTTTGAGAAACAAATTGAAGACCAGGATGGTTTGGACCGACTCGTCGACGCTGTGATGGATTCGGTCGGTATGTCAAGTCGGCAAGAGAAGCCACAGGCCCCTCTTCACACCGACGCTGTGATGGATTCGGTCGGTATGTCAAGTCTGCAGGAGAAGCCACAGTCCTCCTCTATTGTGAAGAGGGTGCGGGAGCGGCGGGGGAGGAAATAAAAAAAAGAAAAGTCGGTCGATTTTATGACCCCCCCGTCATCCGCTCCGAAGAGACGAAAGAAGAAAAAAGAATTGCAGTCCACTACCATGAGTAATGATGTGGTAATTAAACTATCAATTTGATTTCTGTAATTTATGTTATTGTTTTTGTTGTTTTGATATAATTAACCAATTATTTTGTAATGTATGAGAGTGCCGAGAGTACCTATGATGAGTCTTCTTTGATTATGTTTAGAGGGAGAGAAGACTTTTGTGGCCATGAGGCCATTCCGGAAGAGGATCGTGCAACCATTCGATCATTTCTGACGAGCGATCAACGGAAGTAATAGAAATTATTTCAGTTTCTTAATAATTTCATTTCTGTTTATAATATACTAATCAGAATTGCAAATTTTGGTAGCAAAATTATGTGGAGCAATGAGAGTATGCTGATCCGAGGAAAATTAATTATTGATCTTTTGTTCGGGAACAAGCTGAATTCTGAACTCATTGATTGCTTCATGGAGATCCTGTGTGGTCGCCATCCTCGTGTTCGCTTTCTGCCGACTTATATTCAGGTACTTTATTTTACTATACTCTATTAATTTTACAGATTGTTAAAGTGCTAAGAAAATATTTAATTTGTAGACTGATGTGTTGCGTGCGGTTAAAGAAATGAAGAAGAACAAAAAAGTTTGGTTTCGTGAAGATTACGATGATTGTACTTCTAAGATGACTAGAAGTACTGTTGTCATACTCGATGAGTTGATCAGGTCCTTGAATGGGGTGAAGTATGTGTTTTTTCCGGTGCTCTCCGGTTTTCACTTCTTCCTGGTCGTTTTCAACGTTGACGAACAGACTTTTGTGTATCATAACTCGATGGATAATTCGAAGTACCGAGGAGATGGGAAACTTTTGGTAAGTGTTATTGACATATTAAACTTTGTTTTGTAGTTATTATTTATTTTGTGTTTTGTTGTTGTTTTTTTTTATTTTTTTGGTAGGCCAAGTTCCTCGCAGGATATGTGAGTGTGAAAGCTGAATTTGCCATTCATGAAACCGAGAGTTTTCGCTTAGGATACCTGAGGAAGCAGACCGGGCCGAAGGACTGTGGAGTTCATGTTTGCATGGAAATGGAATGTTACAGCGTCGATACTCAAGACTATCGGACGAGCCTAAATACTTGTTCAATCGATGGCTATCGAGCATGGATGGCAGCACTTATCCTTAGAAATCCTCCTTCTTGACAGGTTGTTTGGCTGGTGTTTAGTACTTGTTTAAATTGGATGTTTTGGTTTGTAGTCTGATGGTTTGACTTTGATGGCTGATTGTGGACATAGTGGATGAAAGTGTCATGTTGTGATGTTGTGGATGATGGTTTGTGGTTTGTGAACAAGTAGTCTGATAATTTGATTGTTTGATGGATGATGGTTTGTGGACTGAGTAGTTTAATGAATGTTTTAGATTTTTTTGATTTGATTCCTAATGATACCTGTTTTCTTAATATTAGTACCGCATTTTTAGTGTAAAAGTACTCATTTTCCAGTAGATCTTTGGTTTATCTTTGAACAAGATGTGCAAGTTCTTTAAGGATACCTGTTTTCATCAGAACAGTACCAGTTTTACATATAATAGTACCGCATCTTCTTCTATGAAGTACCAGTTTTTGATGAATTAATACCTACTTTGCAGAAAGAACAAAAATGTATTACTTCAATTGTGGTCAACATTTGCAAAATTAGTACCAGACCAACTTCGACGAACATAATAAAAAAAAGAGATTAATTAACAATCCAAATCCGCTTGTACACTAATGAAAGTACCAGTTCTGGG